GTGTGTGTGTGTGTGTGTGTGTGTGTGTGTGTGTGTGTGTGTGTGTGCGCGCCTTATTTTGATATTGGGTTCCTCTGGGGCTGGGGTTAGTTAGGCTAGGCTGAGTGGGCAAGGAGCCCCAGGCACCTTGCTGTCTCCACCTCATCAGCTCTCAGATTACTGATGCAAGCACCACACCTGGCTTTGTTGGCTCTAGGTGATAGAACTCAAGTCCTCACACTCGCACAGCAAACATTTTACCAACTAAACCATCTCCAGCCTCAAGTTTTTGGCTTAATTTTTACTATTATAATTAACACTTTCCTGAAATGGAGACTAGTTTTGCTACTTTAATTTTGTAATTATTTGGGGGCATTTAGTCCTAGTTTGGCTTCCTCAGAGAAGAAGACTGGGTAGTTTTCGGAGTTGGTAGGTGATTATGCACTTTGTGCTCTGACTCCCCATTGAAATAGGCATCACGGGTCCCTGCACTGACCATGTTCCTTTGTCTCCCCAGAACTGATTCCCACTGGAGCGCTGTTCGGAAAGCTATCTCAGAGGTTGGTCTCCCCATCACACGCTTTGTGTCTAATAATAGTTACGTGTTTGACAAGTAAGACACATGAGGTTTGGTTCTTAGTAGTTCAGACTGAATTCAGGGCAGAGTGGACACTGGAGGGCAGCAGAGATCATAACAGGAACGGGGTGCACAGAGCACAGAGTACGCCTGCTGTAATGAGCCTGTGATCCAAACAGCATCTCTCAGTAGGTGCTTTTGCAAGAGGAGCAAAGAATCTCATCTGTGATAGAGCTTGGAATTACCCTGCACTCCTATGTGAATTTCCTATCATTTGGGGATATTAAATGTCAGCTATTTGAAAAACAAAAAAGATATCAGAGTAAGAAATTACTTATAATTCCATCACTCAGAAATTAGATAACGCTGTGAAGTTTCTCCCAGCACTATAAACCATCCGCATTAGCAATGTAGCTGTACTCTTTGCTCCCCTCCTTAGTTACTAGGATGTGCTTGTGTGAGTGGGTGGGCAGGCGCTCACACACACAAAACAGCTGTTGATTCTAAAGTGCACATCAGGGGCAGCATTCAGCATTTGTGCAGTGGCCTGTGCTGTAGAAATTGACAGGAGTGGGGACATTTGGTGCAGGATGAACTTGAAGCAGCTGGTTTAGAACCCAGAGCCCTGTACTCTGGTCACCGTGTGAGGTCAAAGTCCTTAGGAAAGACCAAGGTTTGTGATGAGTGCCACCCTCTAGGAATTTGGGGTTAGACTGCAGTATTTCTTACTTCAAAGTCTGTATGTTTTATAGTTCCCTTTTGGGGGTTACATTACAATAGTGTTGAAGTATTACAGAGGAAAGGAGAGGAATGGAAACAAGTCTATTTCACTTTCCTCTCTCCAGCAGATAAGTACAGTTGATGTGTTAGCCACGATGGGAGCTATTCCTGCAGGGTTCCGGCCTTCCACACTCTCCCAGCTGCTGGATGAAGGTAACACAGGGCTTTCAGCCTCTACACACTCGTAGCTAAGCAGTCAAGGCTGAAGCTGAATTTTTCTGTCCAACTTGTTCAAACAAGTTGAAGATACTAAATCTACAACCCCCTCTATGTGAGTGTGTGTGTGTGTGTGTGTGTGTGTGTGTGTGTGTGTGTGTGTGTG